AAAGAAATCTTTCTCTCCCTCTTTTTTCTTTCCCTTTTCCAGTTGATTTTAGGGGGTTAGAAGCTTGGATACAGCTGCAGAATAAGTTTGGATCCCAGTATACAGTAGGTACACTATCCGTGCATACAATAGGTGTACAGTACTACCAAGGCTTCCTGCCTGCCTTTCAGTCACACAGACTCCATATCCTCTAGGAGATGTCAGTCACTGCAGTGCTTGTATGTAAATGCTGTATTGTCTGTTAGGTCTTTCAGATCCCTTTACATGGTACTTGGCAAGCTAAGCCATAATTCTTTATGTCCGGTTTCTAGCAGCAGCAGAGGAAAAGTTCTCAGAAAGCAGACATCCCCCATAATAATGATAAAACACTACAAACGTTTCTATAAAGAAGCTTATGTAAATTTTCTAAAAACATATCAGAATGGTGTGTAGAGTTGGTTATCTCCATTTATATGTCCAGAGGGAGAGTCTGAAGAGGTTGTGCACTTACAAGTCGATCTGTTAGTAAGCTGCAGAACCCAGGTCCTCTTGGTTTCCACAGTTCTCACCAGTGTATCTAGGGAGAGCATTCACCAACATGTCTGGACTGTAGGAAATCAACTATTTAATAACATTTACGTATATCATAGAATCATAGAATCATAGAATGTATTGGGTTGGAAGGGACCTTTAAAGATCATCCAGTCCAACCCCCCTGCCGTGAGCAGGGATAGTATTACTAGATCAGGTTGCTCAGAGCCCCATCAAGCCTGACCTTGAATATCTCCAGGAATGGGGCCTCTACCACCTCTCTGGGCAGCCTGTTCCAGTGATCTACCACCCTCATATTGAAAAACTTTCTCCTAATATCCAACCTAAATCTACCCTTTTCTAGTTTAAAACCATTATCCCTCATCCTATTGCTACATGCCCTGGTGAACAGCTCTTCCCCAGATTTCTTATAGGCACCTTTCAGGTATTGGAAGGTTGCTATAAGGTCCCCCCTGAGCCTTCTCTTCTCCAGGCTGAACAACCCCAACTCTCTCAGCCTGTCTTCACAGGAGAGGTGCTCCAGCCCTTTGACCATGTTTGTGACCCTCCTCTGCATCAACTGGTATCTAAAAGTTTGGATATAAAAACTTGTACTTTGGCATGGATCAACACAAATGGTTATGGAGTTATCCAGTAGTGCCTTCATTTATGCAGGCTCTGCAGCTGAGTGTAGGGCACATGGCAAGCTCTGTATGCCTCAGTTATTTCTGTATTTATCTCCTTCCAACTTCATTTGGAGACAGTACTTCAGAAGCTCCAGACTGTATGATAAATTCTAATAATCATGCTGGTTAGAGCAATTTAGTCACCACCTTTTTTACATATTAATGTAGATCTCCTTCTTTTAAAAAGGAAAGAATAAAAATTCAGGACGATAAGTAAACGTATTCCTAGGCCTATATTCCATTTAAATTCGGTTCTTCAAGCTAAATTATGCAGACTTGTCAACATCTGAAGCTATTGCATTATACAGAGAAACAAGTTAAACAGAGTCTCATGCTTTAGTGACAGAGAAGAGAGGTATCTTTTTCTGAACAGAAACTTCATTTCTATTGTGCTTTATTCTGATATGAAAAGTGACCTTTCCTAAGACTTTCCAGCATTCTTCAAAGACCAGATTCTTTGCCAGCTGCAGCACTTTAACAAATCTGCCAACATCTGCCCAGCTTGGCTTGAGATAGCAAATGTTTCTGAGTGTCTATTTGCTCAAGGCGTTAGGATCCTTGGTCCTTATCTTGCGAAGGCTTAAGATCTAGTGTTAGAATTTGCAGAATTGGAGCCTTTACATCTCTAATGTTTATAGTATATAAATTTTTAATAGCAGAAAGTAAATATTCCTAGTAGTAGATATGAAGAGACCAAATACAATAATCTCTATTGTAAATACACATGTTCCTGTTTTCAAATGTGTCTTTGTTCACTTATATTTCTTTTAGGTGTTTTAGTTAGTATTAAAAATCCACTCTAACTTGAATGACATATTCCAGATGTAAATGTATATAGACACTCTTCAGTTATGAGATGCCCAAACCGTTGCTGTGTGCTTCACAGCACATGAGTGTTTTGTGTGTGTAAATTCATATGTATATGTATGTACTTTATGGCCCAGTGCCTTCACGTGTCTTATTCTCTGTGTAAAAGTTTGCATGTAATGAAGCACTGTTTTATAAAATATCACCATTGGCACATTCACTACTCCCAAGGAAGGCACGATCTGTGACATGTGTAAAGCTGCACGTAGAATTAATCTTTTGTAATGTGTCATAATACATTTTATGTCATACACTGAATAGTTTGACCAATGTGTTACTGTAGTGCTATGAATGCCAGAGGTTCTGAGCAAAAGGTTATATCTGTTTCTAACCAGTTTAACTTCCAGACTTCATTTTGAGGTTTTGGTACCAAGAAGTCCAAAGTCTAAAGGCAGGATTTTTGCCTGATTAATGTTGATTTCAGTGCAAAAAAATGTGTACATCGTTTCAGTACAAAACCTAATCTGCTGAGTTTTATGTAAATCTTCCAAAACACACTAGGAGCAGGGAACTTTGCTGATAGAAATATTGTATTGAAAGAACAACTGTTTGGCAGTGAGGTACGTACCTTCCAGGAGTTAATAACTAATAAATGTCCTTATCCTTCCACACTTACAGACTTACTTTACAGCTCTAACGGGATGACAAGACGAAGCCAGGTCATTCTATGAACTGTTCAGGCCTTCAGAAAGGAACAGATCCTGTGGTCTGCTGCAATTCTTTAAAATCAGCAAAGTGTCCTACTAAAGAATACAAGCTGAGATTTTCCAAGACAGGAGCCAGAGTGGCAACATGCCTTTACATATATCAACACAAGGAAAAGATCCAATTGTAGTAAAACTAATCCAACAGACCTTTGGAGTTTTAGGTGAAAATCCAGAAGATACTGTCCTTTCCTCCTACTGCTTTGGCCAAGCTCATGAGGACAGCAAAGGGCCAACAAAGTCATCAGCCCTATGACAAGTGTCAAGTAGCTGGTAGTCAAACCTGGAGCTATTGCTGTGGCCACATCAGGTTTCTGTTAATGTCTTGCTGTAATTACGTACTCAGTTTTGTGGAATCTTTTTGCTATCTCTGAAGTTTGTAGAATCAACATCTCCCATCTTTTTGTCTTCACTGATATTTAAAATAGATGTGGAACTATTGGCATATTGAAGGGTTAAAACTGCATTTTATGCCATTACCTATGTCACTAGTAAAAGAAACACAAATTCAAAGAATGCTACCATTTCCTATTTCCTTTTCTGTCATGCTGTATGTTAATTTCTCTCATACACCGCATACAGTTTCTGTTGAAATGAAATCAGTCACATAGTTATATTATGCCAACTGTCCCATGTTAAGGATGAAGTGAGAAAGAAACTGGCCATCCTTCTAATTCTGGAGGTGTTCCTTACAAGTTAGGCTGGCAAGGCAATGTGAAGAAACTTGCTGCCATCCCTATTCTCTGGATAAACACAAAATTCAAAGCTACCTGTCTAAACACTAAAGCGTGTACTTCCACTTGTCATGCATGGGTATAAAGAAGGGGAAGAAGGCTGTGAACCTTTAAAAGTCAACAGGATCAGAGCATTATTTGCCTGAATTCATGAAACGTAGGAATTTTTAAAGCTTCCGATATTATGGTGTTACTTTCTTCTTTGAATATCATATACAGAGATTCCTGAGCTTGAGTCATTTCAGTCAGACTGAAACCAACATTAGGCAGGTTCATTATTATGAGAAGATGCCTGCAACTGCCTACCAGCACCTTGCCATGTAGACCACTGGGGCCTCTGGCAGCAGGGAGGGTCAGGTCCTCACTTCTGTTCCTGGTGGCTCAGAGTTTCTAGCAGACTGAGCATTTTTTGCCCAGCTTCAAATTTCTAAGGGAAAAAATTTTAAGAAGCCGAAATAAAAGCAAAATAGGATGGGAATATGAAAACAACATTTCTGAGCCCTGCTCAGTTCCAACAGCAACACAAAACTATTCCGTTTATATATTTAGCGAAATAAATCCTGGCATCACCACCAGTATGTTTCCTCTTATTGTGGGGGATTCTTTTGAGTTGTGTTGGGACAAATATAGGGCAGATAAGAATAAGAGACAGCTGTCAGTGCTGTAAGTGCTAGTAGGAGCTGGAAACTCCCTTCATCGGCTGCTTTCAGAAAGTTCCAACCTGACCGGCACCAACCCATCCATCTGGACCAGGAGCACTGACAGAGACCAGCTGACAGATTCTCGCTTTGACCTTCAGTTTCTTGTGCCTGTCCCAAACCTGGGATCTGAAATAGCAGGATTAACCCATCCCAATCCTGATCTTCAGGGAGGCTCAGCTGCCAGGGTCCCATGCCATTTGCCACCCCTCCTCAGCCCTTACCTGAAGAGCATTGCTCATGCTGCAGCAGCCCCTGACCCGCCACCCTCAGCAGTGTAACGCTGGCTGATTTTGTGTTGCAGAGAGAAAACAATCCCCACATCTGAACCCATCCCTCTGGAGATGCACAGCTAAGCCCACAAACGCACCACGTACCAGCGCCAGCTATCTAGCTGCCCTTCTCCTCTCAGCCAGGGATTTCTTCTGCTCGTCGCTTGTCCTTCCCCCCCGCCCCCCTTTTTTCTCCCTCCTGGCTTTTACATTTCTTCCACTGTGACCCATTAGGTATTTACCGACAGGGTAATGTGACTTTTCACACCGGCTTTCTGCGTGCACTGCCCCGCAGACTGGGCTGGATAAAGCCTCTTCCCAACCCCAGCTGGCTGGACATTTCCCCCCCCCTACACCTTCCCCTCCCCTTCACACTAGCCAAGCCAAGGATTCCTCTCTCCCTCCCTCTTTCTTTTTCCACCCCTCCCGCCTTCAGTGCAAACCCAAGACACAGGATCCTGCCGAGGGAACGCGCTCCTTGAAATCATCACCGCAGACCCTGCTGTGAAAGTGCAGAGGAGGAGAGAAAAAGCCTCGGCAGCCAACCTCCTGCAGCTGAGGGCTTTGCAAGCAGGGCAATGGCTTCAGGCTCTCAGAGATTCTCTCTCACCTTTCTCCAGGGTGTGGGATCTGTCTTCTTCATCCTTCAGTTCATCTCTGTTCAGGCTGATGGTGAGTCCCCCATTCAGTTTGGGCTGGGTTGCTATGGCTGGACTGAAAGCTGTATGTTGAAATGTGTTATTGCAAAAAAAAAACAAACCAAAAACCCAAACCTTTTTTTTTTTTAATAAGAAACTTAAATACACGCCCCAGTTTGGGTTAGGAAATGTCTGATTCAGAGGTTTTTGAGACTCTACAAATATCCTGGGGTTAAGCAGAGAAAGGAAAGAAGATCCCAGAAGGCTAAGATTATTTTATTACAACAAAATGACAGGATAGTGAACTCTTCCAGAGGAAATAAGAATAATAAAACAAAACCAGAACATGAATAAGAAGACTCAGCTATATTTTCGGAGAGCTGTCCTTATAATTAAAAGTATCTTTTCTCCAAAGAACTTCCCCATCTGCCCACTTCAGATGTTCCCCAACGTCGATTTATAGGGGCAGGTACTTGAGGAAGGGAAGACAAGAAGTCAAAGGCTTTTATACCCTTTTCTGTTCAGTACCACACATGCTGAAGATGTCTGCTCACCTTTCTGCATGTGAGTTTCATCTGCACTTCGCTGCCAAGGGATGTGATCAGGACATGAATTTGGCTGAAGCACCAGCTACCAGTTACTCTGAAATGGGGCTTTTTTACTCGCTGATAATAACCCCAAATAGCTGCAGCCCTCTGAAAGTTTCCAGTAGCCTATCGCCCTTTTAATGATTAAGCCTGTAGTAATGATGATCAACTTGTCTTAGCAAAAAAACACAATTTCTTTTTGAAACAACCGTGTCTTTTCCTGGGAGAGCAATGCTGAATGGCCACATTTTTTCACTTTCACAGCTGCGATAGATTTATGCCTGATCTCAGGATTTTTTTGTTTCGGTACACTAATCCTTTACCGTCAATGTTTGCTGCATTAGTCCAGAGAGCAGATCTTAAACATTATAGAGCAATAAAAACATCATCTTTTTGTGCTCAGAGTATTTTCCTCTTTAACTTAAATTTATTTCAGCTGATGACAAAGTATGGCAAAGGAAAGGAAGAAAATTAATCTTGCTTGTATGTTTCTACCACTTTGTGTAAAATACCATTTATACAACAGAATCCTGTCTTGTAAATTTTGAAGAAAATTACTTTTCATTAAGAATAAAGGAAAATAAATGTGTTAGGCAACTGCACTGTGTTGCAGTAGGCAGAACTGCACTTCTGATTTTAGGAAATACTCCTTCCCTAGCAAAATGCCTTTGAAATGAGGAAAAAAATTGCATACTCATGAAAGAGAATTCTCTACAGAACTTAAGAAAAGGGGACAGGACAGGAATAATTAATTTCCGTTGCTAAGAATGCTTAATCTGAAGAATTCTCTTGTCTTATCAAGAGCACCTCCCAATTTGTATTATTTCTGTAGAATTAATGGCATCTTCTTGTTTCCTAGACAGACATCCTCTAAAAGAGAGAGGGGAAAAGATGTTGGAGATCCCTTTAAGGCAGGCTTGTGACAGATTTTAATTGTCATTCAACAGTTTGTCAAATTTACTTCACACATGGTAAAGCAATTATAAGAATTAAAGGGCAGAATATCTGAAGTACATTACAGTTGTAGAGCGTTGTTATAATATTGTAGCTTCCATTTTTTTTTAACTTCTAAGTATCATTGGGAAAAATGTGCAAGTCCTCTATTAACATGCTTTTCAGTGTGTTCTCCTAATATTAATATTCAAGCAAACAACTGTAATGCTGTCTTATAAACCATCTGGCTTATTGTAGGTTGATACAGAAGAAAACACTTTATATGAACTTTTACATTTACCACTATATGTAGCCTTATTTATTTAAGAAGATCTGAGAGTACGAAACAGGATTAATACTTTCTTTTATAACAGATTCTGGCCTGATCCAGACAAGAAACCACCTTCTCATTTCTGTAAGTTGTAGGTGAAAATACAATTGTTCTACTCTCTAATATATGCAAATGTCACTTAAGTGCCAAAGGGCTGTTTTGGGTAACACATATGTATGTGTGTATTTGTTATTTTTAACTAAAAGTAACTGACTGTTTTGCAAACCGCTGAAGGGATTTTGAATTCAGACTGGCCTCTGTTCCAGGCAAACCTCTGAAACTCATTGCAGAATATTTCCCTAAGGAAGACTTTTGCTTTATTATCTTGCACACAAATAATGATAAAGAGTAGGCAATAAAACTGGAGACCATCGAGGTCTGGTGAAGGTGTAAAGTCTCGAAGTTAATTGATCTCTTTTGACTAGTATTTAGCATAGCGCATATTGCTGTGGTGCAGATAGAGTCCAGAAAGACGAAGGTAAATGCTGAAGTAAAAGACAGCTTTGTTTGGCTTTGCAGTTTTTTTGTGGTTGAAATAGGCTTGCTCATAGCTGTTGAGGTCAGGGTCAGATGGACAGAAGGCTCTTCAAGGACTTATTCCTGCTCTGACTTATCACGGCATGCCACTACTGTTAGTGTAGGTATTGGATGATAATACAGGTTATTGTGACGGGTCTCATTACACCAGTGCAAATGCAGGCTTTTGGGAATTTCTTTGCATTTGTGTAGGAGTAGGAGAACAAGGATGCAGCTTCATGTGTGCTGTGCAGCAGTCACCTCTGCTTTTTTTTGACTCCCTCTTTTGTCTTTTCACGGAGGCTGAAATATCCATGTGTATGAGCCATAGTTTTCTGCAGACCACTTGCTCTGAGACAGAGCATGTCGGTAGAGAATGATGGTGATTAGTCTACCTTACTGAGACACTCCTGAGCTGAGAAGAAGCGCTAATTGCAAAACTTTACTAATAGTTCCAGAGTGAAGTTGGTCTATTGGCTGAATTTAAGTTCCTTGAATGACCTATTGGCCATGCCAGTCGTCTGGTAGTCCATAGACTAGGTGGTAGACCATCCATAGTGACTACAGAGGTTGCAGATGCAAAGATCCCAAATCCAAAAAGCTAGGCGCAATTAAGTGAGGATCTGAGCTGCATACTGCTGACTTGAAACCAGATATGTCTGATGTCAAAGGCAGGAAAAAAAACCTGCAGTGCTCTTTCCTTTGCTTGCTTTGCACCCTTTTTGTAAAGAAAAGGAAAAAAAAAAGCATGCTTTTTCTCATCTGCTCTCTCTAGACTCTTGCATTTGAGTAGCAGGTGTCTAAGCATTTCAGGCTCCCACTTACAAAACAGCGCATACATTCATATGTTGCAAAAATAAATACATAAACAATTCCAACTGCTTGATCCTAAAGCCTATAGTAAAATTTAAATTTAAGCTCAAACTGAATTTAGCTGAGGAAGAAGTCAAAGATGACCTCCCAAATTTGGTTTTTTTCTGATGATGTAATATCTTAAGCAATTCAAATTAAATAAGACATCATTCACCTTAGTTTCTCACAGAAATAAACTCTACATTCATGAACACTAAGCAGAGCTGGTGATTACTCAAATCTCTGTCTGTAATTGTATAGATTTACTAAATCCTCCACCCTTACCATTACAATCATGGCCATTGTAACACACAGCCATAGAAATGGAAATTAAATTGCTCTTGAAATACAGAAGTGACCTTCCCTTCCGCCACTCTTTTTTACCTCCATTTGGAGTTTTTAACATTTAAGTAAAAATAAATCAGACTCCAAATTTGCACATCTTTCATCACTTTTATTTTTTTGAAACTGATTTCATTTTATCCTTTGAACTAGTTTGTATCATGTCATGAGATCAGCACACTGGGCATGCCTTTTAAAGTGCTTTCAGTTTATATTATTTGTGAGAGACATTTTTATTTCAAAGTCTATTTGGCTATGCAGTTTCATGTTTCTTCCTCAAGCATGATGCAAATCCTGAAGAACTTTGAACTCATTTCAGTGGGCTTTTAACCATGCCTATACGTCTCAGAAGAACTTCATGTTGCATCTGTTACTGTATTAGAATAAATGAGCCAAATTCTGTTTTCTTGGTAGCCAAGAAAATTCTGCTAATTCCACTGAGATTTCTAAAAGTATGAAGAAACAGGCTTTAAACTGGTTTTATTTTTGAAGAGTCCCTTTTTGGCGTGTCCATATATATCTGATTGTAGACGGCTCAGTCTCGCAAGAATAATAAGGTCCAGTTGTTAAAAGCTGAGTTTAGCAAAATTTGAAACTGGAAATAAGGTGGAGTGAGAGTAATGAACCATTGGAACAGTTTACTGTAAAGTGTTCTGTAAATTCTCCATTACTTGGAGTCAGTGAATCATGACTGGATGCCTTTTGAAACGACATGCTCTAGTTCAACTATGAATTTTTGGACTCAATGGTGGAATTACTGGGGAGAAATCTACAGTCTAGTTATGCAGGAATTAAGCAAGGTGATAAAAATGAATCCTAGAAGCCTTGAGATCTATGCTTCTATGAGTATGTTTTCAGTCTGACTATGTTTGGGAACCCTTAAGTAAAAACTATATTCTTCTATTTCTTGTTGACAGTTTTAGTGCCAAACAATAATAAAAATTATTCCTTTATCAATATATCAAAATATAATCAACATTCTGTAATAATAGTGATCAGATGACAATAGAGGCTACTCATATAATATAAGCCAGTTATTAAAGAAAGACTCTCTGATTTCCAGTTTTCCTGAGAGGTATAAGTCCAGCTGTTAAACAGTAGGAAGAATTATGTCTTATCATTTATGTCTTACCAATGAAATTAAAACTTTTTCACTGGTTTCAAAGAAGAACCTGAAGAAACTTCTGTGATAAAGACATTTTCATTATGAACCTGATAAATTCAAGATGTGCATTACGCCTCCTGAAAAAAGCTACTTTCCATGGATTTCCAGCTTGATCTTGAAACCAAAGGGACTGCCTTTATTTGAAAAGGCTTCAGAAAAGTATATAGAGTTTTAGCAAAAAATTTCCACATCACCTGTCTCATCATTGCATTATGGAAAGCAAATGTTACAGGGCAGTGATGAAGGGAGAGGGTTGAGAAGGCACTCAAACATGGTGGCTGTTCAAAGGTACCACAGACAAAGGCACTCTATGTTCTTCACACAAATAAACACAAAGACATGATCCTTCCATCCTGTGACTTACGGAAATGTAGCACAGCCTCATATTTAAAACAGAATGACAATACATGTCTTGATACTATCTCAGAGAGAAAACTGAATTCAACCACTCCATGCTCAATGTGCTAGAGAGAGATGGGATGCCATTTGAAGTTTTCACAACCCCAGTACCAAAATTGATTGTGATATCATCAAGTATGGGAAATAAACCTTTTTTTTAAAAAAAAATCTTTCCATTACAAATAGCAATGATAAAAATTTTACAAATTCTTAACCAGGACCCTTCAACCCGAAGCTTCAAAATTATACCACTTTTGTGATTAAAACTAAGAAGATAACTCAAGCATGTTAGCCATACCACTGTAAGGTGCAGAATTCAATCTTGGTGTTGTTGTCTTATTTATTTAAGGGGATTTCCTCTTTTGATGTGTTTTTCTGTTTTTTCTATTACCTGGCTAGCATATCGCCAATATTTTTTTCTGTAAATGCTGCTCAGTAACAAGACACAGCTCAGGATACTGGGAGTCCAGCTGTTCTATTAGTCAAGTGTCAGATAATTGAAGCTTACTTGCTATTATGTTTTCTGAGTAAGAAAACAGGCAAAACAGAAGGCACATCTTAAAAACTAGGCAGATAGCCATAGAGCTGCTAAAGCTTTGGAGAAGATTTCCGGGTCGGTCTGGTAAAGCAGGTCATCCCTCATTATCCAATTCTGGCTAACCAAAATTTCCTATAAAGCAGTTCACTGTAATTTTCTCAACCAGTATGTCCTTCCTAGCTTACCCTAAACCCTATTTGTCTACAAAGTTTGGACATCCTAGATACCTTTTCAAAGGACAAGACTCTGTTTTCAACCAGCATCTTCATAGTTCCCAGTAAGAACTTAATTTATCTTAAATGCTAGCAAACACATAACAGTAATTAAGGAAAGCTGTCTCAGCCTTAGACTTGGCTAGCTAAACCCCTCTAAAAATGTAATCATCAATTACTGGTAAAAAGTCTAAATTATTAACTTAATTTCTTTTAATTATTTGTAGATGGAACTCAGTCCTTAATGGTTTTCCTTTCTTTAAGTCTTCTAACTAAAATACTCATGGCTGGAAAATAGGTCTTACTGCTGGGTCAAACTGACATTTCTGATGTAAGCCAGGTAATACGCAAACTTGCCCTAATGTCTTTAATGATGCATCTCAATCCTGACAGCCAAATTGCTCAATGTAGAACATGGACAAGATTTTAGTTGGGACAAAGCCTCAATAAGTCATCACATTTAGTCCCTACTTACCTTTACTAATGGATGTGTTTAAAACCATCATACTTCTGCTTTTATTATCTCTCTCTCCCTGCCCCATGTATACTTTGCTATGTCAATTCATGACTTTGGAAACAACAGACTATGATAGAGCAATATGCATTATTTGGGACATTTTGCAAAGAATCCTGAGGTTTTGATAGTCTGGACTGTAAAAGCTTGCTTTTTTCACTGCTCTGTGTAAATTCTCCTGTTCTAATTACAGTTCATGATATTGATTATAGCTGAGAGGCAATACACAATGTAATCTAGTGGTTAGGACACTGATCTGTGCTTCTGGGTTGCAATCCTTGGTCAACTGCTGCCAACTGTATGAGTAAATCACTCTGGGTACTCTGAATTCTTGTTCCTTCTCATCACTGCTTGTCCTACTTATTTAACTTGCTCTTTGCCCAAGTCTGAACTACTTCTTACTGAGCGCATGTAGAATTCCCACCCAAGTAGGAGCCTTCATCAGGACCTGTCTGCACTTGTTAGATAATGTAAACACAAATGATGTATTTACCTGAAATAAACTTTGCGGTTTTTGCTGTAAGGACTGTGATTCTTGAAGTGTATTCAGCTCTGCACAGGTGAGAACAGAAACCTTTCAGGGACAGACCTACTCTGTATCAGTTCCCTGTACTTAGGATTAGATTCAGATTTACCAATTTGTTGACATAATATGTGGTGAGGGTGGCACTTGGTACAGAATCAGGCTGAATCAGTCTGAAGGAGTCCTGATATTGGTCAAGATATCCTGTGAGTGTGAAGCTAGCACTCAGTATGTGCTGGAAGCTATGCATTGATAAAACCATGACCACTAGTCTACTTCTGAAATAAGACACAGCAAGTGTTTCTTGATATTTATTGAATGAACAGTGCTTAAAAGTTGCCTTCCTGTTTAACCTGCAAGCAACCTAAATCTGTACATTTGAAATTTAGAGAGTATTCTGAGGGATGTTATCTTCAGAAAGAAGATACTTATGGCAGTTTACATGTCAGCACTGCAAACTGTCTCATTGTTTATTTCTTCTTCTGGAGACATCCAGCTAATGTCTTTATTCCATAACCCAGTAACTTCTCAAGCTTTATTGCCAAAACCCAAACTTCCCTGTTTCCAGTTGCCAAAACCTCTAACTCTCACCCTTACAGCTTTCACAATATTAGGTAAATTAAAGTAAAATGAACTGAAATTAAAATAAAAATAACACAAGAAATTGTTATGATAAGTATGTTCTCATGCTCATTCAAAAAAACCTTCCATTAAGAAAAAACATCCGTCTTTCCAAAAAGATATGAAAATGAACTGGCTTTACAGCAGCATTTAGCACAAGTTGCCATAGAATTACATGATTTTGATTTTAGAGAATAAGTATAAATCTATTGCTGATGTGGAAGAGTGAGTTGCAATACTGATTTTTAGATATGTGCTTACTTTGTAGATGTAGTTGTTATAAATGTAACTGCACTACGCTTAGTAATGAATTCCAGCATTGTAGCCTGCAGAAGATGTTCTGAGTCTGACTATATATGTGCATATGAGAGAGTGCTGGGGTTTCTCTCTCCAGATCTTAAGCACAGACTTATATAGGCAAGGCAAGCTTCTCATATGGGCTGGGAATGAACCAGGGCTTAGCCATACTTGATTTTCTGTTGATGAACAAAATGAAAAGAAAACCTAAGACAAAGGTGCTTATGGTGTTGACAAAATTACTCATTCCAAGAAGTAGGTTGCTCATTAAAATGAACTTAGTAAAAGCAGGAAGACTCTATTTGGTGATAATTTGCAATGTATCAAGTACATGTATCAAGTACAAAACCATGACGAGTGACATGTCCTTTCTTGGTGCTGCAGGGAAAGTGTTTGCACTTGAGTCCAAGAACAACTCTCAGGGTCTGGATTTAGCTGAAGCTGAGAAAGCTTGTGTTGACCTGAGTGCTCGCTTAGCAACTGCAGAAGAACTGAAAAGGGCTGTGCTGGACTGTTCTTTTGCTGGCTGCACCACGGGATGGCTTGCTGATAGCTCCACCGGGTAAGGACAACAACATAACCCTTCCTGAGAAGTATGAATGACAGCTGTCACACGAGTTTTCCTCCTTGACTATAAATATTAATGGAAAACACTGGCTGCAATTCAAGCACAGTGACATGTAGCTAAATGTGCCACTCCCTCCACAGACTCAATTTTGTACAGCTAATATTGCAGGGACACAAATATTTATCAGTATCAGATCATGTATTTCATGAATCTGAAGTAATTTCCTATTCCTCTTTCCTTATGAATTATGTGATTGTGGTTTCTAACCACCTAGCCTATAGGAGGAGTGCAGAGCCCTATAGGAGCTTACAGGCTGAGGACACAGTGCTGGAGCATCAGTGCTTCCACTGACTTTGTTAGTCTCTATTCTGTGAGAAAGCTCAGCAAACTGAGCTTCTCATGGAAACCATGTATCTGTCTGAGGTATTTACCTGTGCCTAAATTGACAATGGGCATGTTCAAATAGGTATGACTTTAGATGTACTTAGATAGGATAATGCAAAAGTAGTAGAGACTTTGTTGAGTAGTAGAGAGTTTGTTGAGAAAGTTCACCAGGGAGCTGATACTGTCACTTGATGTGCTGAATTGTATTATCCGAAGTAGCTCAGGTGACTCGACATGGCAGCAGGCTGAGCTTTGCCTCACATTACAGATGGTGTTTCAAGATGTAGTGAAAGGCACAGCCTCTCCAGGAAGCATTGTTGTCTCTATGGAGGCCAGTTCAAAGCAGGAACATAGAAGTGCCCTGTGATGAAAACCTCTTCCCTCTATTGATTATAGTTTCAGGAGGCTAAAGTCAGCCTTCATGAGTACTCTAGAAGCATGAATGACTTTCAGTGAAATTTAAGATTTTGAGAACATATGTCCACACAGGTGCTAGCTGTATGCTAGAATAGGTGCTAGCTGTATGCCGTGCCACCATGCCACACTGCTGTGGCTGATGAGTGCTTCCCGAACTTAAGGTAACTCAGACTCATTCCAGTCTTGCACAGGTCCAGCTATGTGGCACTGCACTGGGCCAAGCACCTACATTCCAACTGCCCAGTCTCTTCCAAAATGAAAGTCTTCACAGCATGCCTCAGAAACAGGTAGACAGGCTTCATATTTGACAAAGAGACCAAATCACAGAAAATTCAATTTAAAAAAAAAAAGCAAAACCAAAGCGGAGGAGCAGAGGGTTGGCACAAATATCTCATGTCACTGAAGCTGGGACCATACAGGAAATGCCCAGAGGGAGCAAGAGTAGATCAGAGACCCCTTCTCTCTTGAATTTTTCCTTCAGCAGGCTTACCAGCCACAGCCTTAACATAATATATATATTCATGACTTTGAGGTGCTTTACAAAGTTCTCATGAGTTAAAGGGTAATATCTAATCTACTGTCAATGTTCAATGATGATAATGTTTTGTTTTATCAAGATGCTATTTCCAAGTTCCCAAACTTTAGTGTATAATTAGATTTTGTGACAGTTATCAGTTATTTAAATAAGCATTGGTGTTTGTGTATTTTTTGAGATAAAGTTTCCAAAGGGCAGAAAATTGCTACTATTAATGAGAGGTGATATTTAAACAACTTCAAGCAAAAGCAACTAGCTATGGTGATAATTTTTTTTCCAGGTGAAAAATTTTTTGAAAATGTATGTACTTTTGGTCATTAAAAAAAAAGAAATCAAGAAATCTTTCAGGATATAAGACAGTGATCTAAACCCTTAAAAACTTTTTCCTAAGCCAGCTGCTGAGATGTCATGCAGGCTGAGGAGCCAGGGAAACTATCCATCTCGAAGAAGTGCATGGCAAAGTTGTTGTACAGGTTCTTTTGAACAGCCGCTGTATTATGGAAATAAGGAATGTTGATGGGTAGAGAAGAAACCATCTATTTTTTATCTAAGCAATACCACTAGTTAATCCTAAGAGATTCTCAATTAATTACTGCAGGCACTGGAGCTACAACTATTAATAAACCAGTTGTGGGCCTATCCCTGAATATATTCAATATCAAAATTGGATACAGTGATAATACTGTACACATGACACAATGGTTATGTGAGAATGTACTCATTGGGAAGGAAAGCAAGATTTTTCATCCCTTCCAACTTTCCATACTCTCTTCCACCAATAAACCTGTCCTTAATATGGAAGTCTCTAAACTATTTACCAGAAAGGACATTGTGGGGGCACATCAGCATGCCAGTGCTGTGCAGTCACCACATCTGACCCTCACTAGAGAGCTTCAGCAGAAGCTCTCTTCTTCTTCAGAGCTGGCATTTGATAGTGTCTTCTCTGGGACTGTTTTACCCATTGTTGGGCAAGCGCCAGAATGTATGTTATTTGGTTCGCTGAACTGGATATTTTTGACTCTGGGGAAAACCAGGAAAAGTGTAATGCCCAAAAAGGCTATACTGATTTCACTGTTAGTTAATCCAGCTCTGGAGAAGGAGATGAGCAGTCTGGTGCAAAGTATGCAAATGAGACAAAGCTATTCAAGTTGAGCAAGCTCAAGTAGGATATAAAGATTTCCAGAGTGATTTAGATCAGTGGGCAAACTGATGAAAAATTGAGTTAAATTATGATACAGGCAGGAGGAATATGCAGTCTACTTTAAAATATCTTACAGGGCTGTGATTTACCTCTGTCAGCCAAGGAAAGACATGAGTACACCACTATGGACAACACAAAGAAAACCTCTGTCAAACTGCAGCTGTAGTATCACAGAGTCACAGAATCACAGAATATTAAGAGTTGGAAGGGACCTTGAAATATCATCCAGTCCAACCCCGCTGCCAGAGCAGGATCACCTAGACTAGGTCACACAGGAACGAGTCCAGGCGGGTTTTGAATGTCTCCAGAGAAGGAGACTTCACAACCTGTCTGGGCAGCCTGTTCAGTGCTCTGTCACCCTTTCAGTAAAGAAGTTTCTCCTCATGTTCAGATTGAACTTCCTATGCTCCAGTTTGCTCCCACTGCCTCTTGTCCTGTTATTTGCTATCACTGAGAAGAGCCTGGCTCCTTCTTCCTGACACTCACCCTTTACAAATTTATAAACATTAATGAGGTCACCCCTCAGTCTCCTCTTGTCCCAGCTAAAGAGACTCAGCTCCCTCAGCCGCTCCTCATAAGGGAGATGCTCCACTCCCTCAATCATCTTTGTGGCTCTGTGCTGGATTCTCTCAAGCAATTCCCTGTCCTTCTTGAACTGAGGGGCCCAGAACTGAACACAAATTAAAAAACAAGCAAAGAAGCAAACAAAGAAGTTGCTAGTGTGCTTAAGGAGTGGGATGGAGAATATGAAAAATATATACATATCTATATGCACACACATATAGGTCAGTGTAACACGCTGCTTTGGAATATTATACATATTACTGTTACCACATCTTAAGAAAAGTACTAAAATAGGCTCACAAAAGTGCCCAAGAATGATTAAAGGAATGGGAATGCTATTAAGAAAGGACTAAAAATATTTTAATAAATTAGTTATTTAATTTTAAAAATACATCTACAGTTACCTATTCAGTACTTGAGACATTTACTTGATAAATGGAAACATGACAGCAAAGATAAAGGATACCTGGTAAACAGAAAGACCTCAATCCACACTCAGGTGACTTAACACAGAGAGGCGAAAGCAGGCTTCACAGCATGCCCAGAAGGTTACAGAAGTAGGGGAAATTATTTCCAAAATAAAGAACTCTTCACTGGGCATACCTTGTGCTGTTTATCTTGATGGACCTCCACATCTTTGAATGTAATGGCATGGCCCAGGAAAAGAAGTGACCTCCCCATGTTTGCTAGGTCCAAAACTGTTGAGGACTTTATAGGCTGTTTCTAAAACCTTGGATTCCTCCCAGAAGCTGACTGACATCCAGTCCAGATCAGAGAGCTTTAGTCCAATGTTCTCCTAGGAGATGAATAGGACGGAATGTGATAAAAGAAGTTCCTAATTTCAGGAAGAATGCAGTTTAGTTTATTTATTTTGTGCCTGGAAAGTATCCCACTCTTTC